ACTCGACTAGCTGTTGCTCTGTAAATGGCTGCGATGATTGATAGATAAACACACATCTATGTATATAAATACATATATATGTATATATCTGTATATTTTGAAAATACAATCATATTATATTATAACCGAGAATTAACGCTTCAAGTATACGAAACCAGAATTAGCAATCTCTCGTTTATCTCGAGACAAATTTACTTGCATTGTTCAAATGGAATATTACAAAATAGAATAAATCTAAAGCTATAAAATGAACTTAACAATACTGAATAAAAACTATTTTCTTTTTTTATCAGCTTAACTTTGGATGAAGCTTGGGTATATCTTTCCAGCTCAAAGAAAGTATAAAGTCACCAGATCTCTAGCACTTATTTATTTAGTCAATTTTCTCACAAACCTTATCATATTCAACAATACATTACGCTCCTCATTTACTGTCGATTAGCTAGTACAATTGCAGTTTCTCATAGAAACTATCCCAGAGTCTCAGGTGCTTGCTCTCTGGCAATTTTATGAACTGCAATTGTCGGCTAATGTTGAGGCACTTGAGAGCACAGCTGCAGTCGACGGGTTGCCACTGGACAGATCCCAACTGAGGACATTGGGGACTATCGTTGGCCGCGAATGCCGTCCACATGCCAATCATACGGTCTATCGTGCAGTACTCCTCTGAGGACTTGTCCAGTTTGCTGGCTGGGATGGAGTAGAAGAGGTAGAAGTGATCATCAGCGTGACAGGCGCCTCGTTCATGGCGTCCGCAATTCATAATCCGAAAGTGATTAAATGTGGGCGAATCGAAATCGAAGCGGTAGAGGTAGGTGGGTGCGTCTTGGGCATAGGCAAGGCGCGCGAGCACCGTGCGATGAATGCCGTGCCAAAAGTGCTTAAAGGAAAGCAATTGCAGGCACTCCTTGAACTCCATGCGGCCTCGAGTGGCATCCTCGAAGAACTTCACCTTCAGGCGTCTGATGTGCTCTTTCAGCTCCGCTTGCGTGGACACTTCGCGCACCTCTCTGGGTATTATGGCCTCGAAGGCACTCAGCATATGCGCCGTGTCCCGCATTATGAACTGGTATGAGAATAAGCCCTCGAACGAGGCGCCGCCAATCATCAGAGGTATGCTATTGCCCCATGCCCCGGACAGCGCCTCCACTGGCGGCTGTGAGATAACACAGCTGGCGGTCGTGTACGGCTCGACGACAGGTCCAAAGGGAAACAGTATATAATCACGTGCCTCCTCTTGACTCGGCAGCGCCGAGCAGCCGATCAATTCCTTGGCCGAGGCGCGCTGCAGAAAACGAAACACTTGCTTCTCGTTGTCGGTGCCGTTATAGCCCAGGTGACAGGCCAGGCGATAGGCCCACTGGTGGTTGGGCGAATTGGCCCAGTCGCACAGCGATGAGCCCGACATGATGATCGCCTTATGGAACAGACCTCGTGTTTGTTCCGTTGTCATCATTATATGAGTGGATGCACCGCCAGCGCTTAAGCCCATCACAGTTATGTTGGACGGATCGCCGTTGAAGTTGGCGATGTTATTCTTCACCCATCGGAGGGCCATTACCTGATCCTTGAGTCCAGCATTGCCRGGCACATCCAAGTCTCTATCGGAGAGACTGAGAAAACCTGTAGTTAGAAAAGAAATTTGTATACTCGTTCTAAACTCTTGGTTTATGAGGCATTTTTGTTTTTATACCCTGAACCCATTGAAAATGGGAAATCAGGGTATAATGGGTTTGTTAAAAGTATGTAACAGGCAGAAGGAGGCGTGGCAGACCCCACAAAGTATATATATTCTTGACGAGCTGAGTCGATATAGCCCTGTCCGTCTGTCTGTCCGTCCGTCCGTATGTATGAATGAATGCGTCGATCTCAGAAGATATAAGAGCTAAAGACTTGAAATTTTTTTCCTAGGTCCGTGTATATCAAGTTTTTCAAGTAGAGACTTAGGCTTTGGAATGTATATACATTTTCACCATATGATTACGCTCTGAAAGTTTCAGTAAGATTGTACGTCTAGAAATTAAATTATTCAACCAATAAATTCTTATAATGTTGCCCACACTGCAGCGCTGCCAAAGCGCAGTCGCTGCCTACTGCGCAGTTAGCAGAGCGCGTTCTAATACGTGCGTGTGTATGTATGTGTGCAGAAAAGAAGTGCAGAGTGATTAGAATATCAGATTAGAGGGTTCAGGGTATCTCCTAGTTGAGCAGTCTCGACTAGAGTTTTCTTACTTGTTCTTCTATTAAAATAAACTTAATTTGTAATTTTTTAAATTTAAATTTATTTTTTACTTATTAACGCTTACTTTGAGACATATACTCTTTCTGTCTCGCTCTCTCTTTGTTTTGTATCTCTCTTTGTAGCGCACTTCTTCTTTCCTCCTGAAGGTCAGGAGGTTCAGGACCTGAACTATTTTTTTGACTCTGTCGCTGCCTTTCTCTCTCTCTCCTTCTCCCTCTCTCAAAAACAATTGTATATGTAAGTATATATGTATATTCAAAGCACAATAGCGTCTACCGTCGCAATGCTCGGAATGCTAGTGTTAACTATTCTGTTAACTTAACAGCAGCTTGCTCTACATTATATTAGATGTTAATCTTTTTAGCAGCAAAGCCAAACAAATATAAATGAAACGGTTTTCAGCTACAAATCGCGAGCTGAGCAGTTATTACTAATCAGACACCTAGCACGCTATTACAACTTTTTTATATACTATAAAAATTTGTATAGACTCCATGGATGGCAACGCAGACTCTGACACGAGCTCACTTCAATTAAAAACTTAGTAAGAATTCTTTCCGTAAAAAATAACTTTCACTGTCACTGAACTTCCCATAATCATCGAGTTTTCAACACTCCACTCACCTAGAACTCCCAATCTATAGTTGATGGTGACTAGAACGACGTCTTTTTGCATAAAGTAATCCGGACTGTGTGTGTCCCTGGTGGCTTCGCCAATCTGAAAGCCCCCAGCAAAGATCCAAACCATGACAGGCAGCGGTCTGTCCGACTTAAGCGTCTTCGTGTAAACATTCAAGTAGAGACAATCCTCGGAGCCCTCCAGCACATGCATCACAAAGTGCTGCTGCACCGGCTTGGCACGCGTGAACGTACAGTCCCTGATGCCCGTCCATGGATCTGGAGATTGAGGTGCTCGGAAACGCAGCTCGCCCAGCGGAGGCTTGGCGAATGGTATTCCCTCGAAGGCGAAGTAGAGGAGGTGATCATAGAGGGTCTTACGTTGAAGTCCTCGTACCTGACCATGCTGGGTATTTACCACCGTTGTGACCTTTGTTGCCAGATTGTACTGTTCGATTTTGTGGCCGATGAGCCTGCAATTAGATTAGTGTAGAACAGTCGGAATTTGCTTTAATGATGTGCTCTTATCTTATCACGCAATATTTGCCAGATCGTGGCATTTACGACTCCATTGACAGCGATTAAATGCAAAGACTTATGTCACCTACTTGGCACCCAGCTTGAGCAGATCCCCAACACTCATTTGTATATTCATCTTGGCTGGGATTCTCGTCCTCCTTGTGTGCCGCTTTAAGTACTATCGGCGCTTTCACTTCCGTCCCAGCCAATTGACGAGCTGCAACTGAACGTTTTACTAGAATAGAGCAATCTACAATTGCTCGTATGCGCACCCAACTCTGATGTACAGTAAACACTCACTAAGTGAGCGATTTGACAAATAATTCACAAAGCTTACTATCTATTATTGATGTTTATTTTGTGCTGAGTTTGTATTGATAGGATAAACAATTTATTTATACATTATAAAATCTTAATAGTCTTCAGCTATGCACATAAGGTTAATGTAGGAAAAATTATTTAATCAAAAATGCTTTTTACTTTTGGATGTATTTGTCATTCTCAGTAGCCACTGTACATAGTTATTACAATCTACGAATCGTTCCGAGTCTCTGTTGATGTTTTAATCACGAACGACAAAAGCGAGCGCTTATCTCTA